TCCATTCAAATAACTTATAAGGTAGATACTGTCAATCTATATTTTATAAGTGAAACGGAGGCCCAGAGAGTTAATTGTCTTGCCAAGACCACGCAGCTAGTAAATGGCAGAGCTAGAATTTTAAGCTGTCTGATTTTAGTTCAAGCTTTAACTACCATGCTGTTCTTCCTCCCACAGAGTAGTGTAACTGATCATGCTGTTCTTACTCAAACATCTTACAGTTATATCAAACGCCCCACTACTTTTTAGTCTTATATTCAGTATCCTTTGTGAACTGACTCCATCTCATTATTTCTGTTACTTTGTTTTTTTTTTGTTCTATGCCAAACTGAATCTATTATCTAAATATTCATACCCTTCCCAGTAATTTTATTCATTTTATTTTTTCTACCTGTTTATCTCCCTCTCATAACATGTTTTGTAACTGCTCTGTGGCACTAAATGCATTTCTTTCTTTCTTTTTTTTTTTCTTTTTTCGAAATGGATTTTTTCTCTTTTTGCTTTGGCTGGAGTGCAATGGCGCGATCTCGGCTCACCGCAACCTCCGCCTCCTGGGTTCAGGCAATTCTCCTGCCTCAGCCTCCTGAGTAGCTGGGATTACAGGCACGCACCACCATGCCCAGCTAATTTTTTGTATTTTTAGTAGAGATGGGGTTTCACCATGTTGACCAGGATGGTCTCGATCTCTTGACCTCGTGATCCACCCGCCTCGGCCTCCCAAAGTGCTGGGATTACAGGCTTGAGCCACCGCGCCCGGCCTCTTTTCTTTTTTTTTTTTTGACAGATTTCACTCTTGCTGCCCAGACTGGAATGCAATGGTGCAATCTTGGCTCACTGCAACCTCCACCTCCTGGGTTCAAGCAATTCTCCTGCCTAACCTCCTGAGTAGCTGGGATTACAGGCATGCACCACCATGCCGGCTAATTCTGTATTTTTAGTAGAGACAGGGTTTCTCCATGTTAGTCAGGCTGGTCTCAAATTCCTAACCTCAGGTGACCTGCCTGCCTCAGCCTCCCAAAGTGCTGGGATTACAGGCGTGAGCCACCACACCAGCCTTATTTCATGTTATAATTATAGTTTGATGTTTTATCTTTCTTTTGAGCCTGTAATCTTGAGTGCAGCATCGGTAATTTTTTTCTGTCTCCATGCCTTGTACAATGCATGCTTTTACATGTTTTTTCTTTATTAAATTTCTCTTCAAAAATATCTGTTGAATAAGTGAAAAATTTAACTGTTACCCATAGACCATTAACCATAAGATTCCTGTATTGATGGCTTATTAGTGTGCTACGTCTCATTTCTCTATGATTCAGTAGTTCGTTACACTATATAGTAGGAAGAACTTGTGACAATGTTTGTGATCTGAGGGTTTGGGTTTTTTTTTGAGACAATGTGTAAGGCTAGTTTAAGATACTTCAGTTTGAACCATTTTATTGAATCTAAGACACATTTTTCACATGCTGAAATTGTCAGTATAGATTTTTATTTTGTTAGGCCGGGCGTGGTAGTTCATGCCTGTAATCCCAGCACTTTGGGAGGCTCAGGCAGGTGGATCACTCAAGGTCAGGTGTTTGAGACCAGTCTGGCCAACCAACATGGTGAAACCCCATCTCTGCTAAAAATACAAAAATTAGCCGAGTGTGGTGGCTTGTTCCTCTAATCCCAGCTACTTGGGAAGGTGAGGCAGGAGGATCACTTGAACCCAGGAAGCAGAGGTTGCAGTGAGCCAAGATTATACCACTGCACTCCAGCCTGGGCCACAGAGCAAGACGCCTTCTCAAAAAAAAAAAAAAAAAAATTATTTTGTTTTTTAAATCTTCCTGTAAATTCATGGTGTCATAGAATCAGGGAAATTTGTGAGTACAAATAAGTAGTGACTTGGTTAAATGGCCTCTTGGAACAATATTCATAATTTGGATTTTTGTTTATATTCTAAGAGTATAGGCTCAAGTCTCTGTAGCTTCTGTCATCTTATTTTATATTGTATTGCTGCTGAACGGCTTTTAAAAAATGAGATAAGAGGTAAGAGTTTTGCTATTTTTTTAATTGGGGGAGGAATGGGGAAACTTAGGTTTAAGTGGGATTTACTAGTAATGCATCAATGTAGAATTAAAAGGATCAAGTTGCAGGATTTCTAAAGTATAATATTATTTATGTAAAATTTTAAAACATGCTACCTTGTTAAAGGCTACATACTTATTCAGAAAGAATGTGGTTACATAAAAGAGAGTCATAAACACTGTATTCAGGATCCTGGTTGCTTTTGGAAGCAAGGTGTGTAGAGGGATAGAATGAGGGAGAGATGCCAAGAGGCTTTGTATTGTTTATGTTCTGGGCTGAGTAGTAGATGGGTGGGTGGGTCTTTGTTACATTGTTCTCTGTAACTCCTTGTCTATCTGAAATATTTTATAATTTTGTAAAATGAGGGGGAAAGGATACAGGTGGATATGTATTTGTATTAAATGTCATCTTAAAAGTTTGTGGTTTTAAGTTCAAACCACAGAGTTTCCCACTCACCTTGACTCTCCTTACTTTCCCTCCCAAAAGTGAACATTTTACTGGTTTCTTTTAACCTTTCCAGAGATGTGTACATAAACAAGAATATGTATAAATTTTTCTCCCACCTTTAAAAACTGAAGTAAATGCTCCACTCCTTTTACATAAATAGTTGTCTTCTTTATATAGTTTTACACTATTCTTTTTTAGCTTAATAAGATAACTTGGAGGCCGGGCATGGTGGCTCACCCCTGTAATCCCAGCAGGTGGATCACCTGAGGTCAGGAATTTGCGACCAGCCTGGCCAACATGGTGAAACCCCATCTCTACTAAAAATACAAAAATTAGCTGAGCGTGGTGGCAGATGCCTGTAATCCCAGCTCCTTGGGAGGCTGAGGCAGAAGAATCGCTTGAACCTGGGAGGCAGAGGTTGCAGTGATCTGAGATCGAACCATTGCATTCCAGCCTGGGCAACAAGAACAAAACTCTGTCTCAATAGTAATAATAATAATAATAATAAAACTTGGAGATTATTCCATATCAGTACATTAAATATGTAGTTTTAACAGATTCTGCTTTTTTTTTTTTTTTTTTTTGAGACAGGGTCTCGCTTTGCCTCTCAGGCTGAGGTGCAGTGGCATGATCATGGCTCACTGTAGCCTCCACCTTCTCAGCTCAGGCTATCCTGCTGCTTCAGCTATCCAAGTAGCTGGAACTAAGGCACGCACCACCATTCCTGGCTAATTTTTGACATGTAGAAAGCACTATAAGATGTTAGCTATTTTAATTTTATTACCGATCACTTAGCTTTCTGCTCCCCAAGCCACTGCCAATTTCCAGGTAGCTAACCCCACATTCCACCCTGACGTCCATAATAGACCCTGGTCTGTCTGGCTAGTGTGGAAACCTCATTTTCCTTTTCAGTGTCTGCTCTTTCAAAGGATGTTCTCCTGGCCATCCAGTGATGCCCTTTATACATCCAGTGATGCCTTCTGCCTAAAGTATCAGGCTTCTCTGCACAGCTAGGGTAGAGAAGATGATGTACAGTCTCACATCTGCCTGAAACTAGGGCACTTCTGAATGTCTTTGCTGCTTATACTCAGCTTCTTGGTCAGAATTCTACATATTGTTTCTTGTATAGGCTTTCCCCTCCAGTTGTTCCACCTTACCTTCTACTTTGGGAACCTACATGCTAATATGTGTCTGAATCCAGTTGAGATCGGGGTTTAAGTTCTTTCTTTTTCCTTCTTTTCTTTCTTTTTTTCCCTTTCCCTCTTTTTATTGAGACGGTGTCACTGTTGCCCAGGGCTGGAGTGCAGTGGTGTGATCACAGCTCACTGCAGCCTCGACCTCCCAGGCTTAAGTGATCCTCCCACCCCAGGCCCCCAAGTAGCTGGGAGTACAGGTGCATACTACCAAACCCAGGTAATAGTTTTATTTTTTGTGGAGATGAGGTTTCACTGTATTGCTCAGGCTGGTCTCGAATGCCTGGGCTCAAGCACCCCTCCCACCTCATCCTCCCAAAGTGCTGGGATTACTGGCATGAGCCACTGCGCCCAGCTTAAGTTCTTTCTCATGAGGCTTTTGGGCCACAAGTTAATTGGGAATGTGGCTTGACATTATTTTAAGGGTTCCTTAGCTACTGTTACTGATAGGTCGCCCAAACATTTGATGATAATTGGGAGGCCAGTATCCCCTGAGCACCAGAGGATCCCTGAGGAGCAGTGACATCTCTGCCCAACCAGGATACCCTGTTATGTTATTAACATTTATAGCTAACATCTGCATAGCAGTTTCCATTACAACATGATTTTCACATAAGTTATGTCGTTTCAGTATCTCATTTTCATTTTTCTTATGAGAAAACAAGATTAGAAACATTGTGTTCACTTAAATGGAAAAGGACAAGTCTGTCTTCATGTGTCGCTCATATCAAGCAATCTTCTTACCAGATTAAAAAAGATCATATTGTATGGTTCAGCAGAGTTATATCAGTTGTCATAATGGAGGAATTTAGTGTTAGCCATGTCTGCAGTGAAATTAAAAGCATTGAAAACTTGAGTAATTTCATTTAAATTTAGGTCTCCTTACTACTCTGTCAGTTTGTGTGAACTATATACAATTTTGTATTAATAAAAAATATATGTGTAAGCCTGACGTGGTGGCTCACACCTGTAATCCCAGCACTTTGGGAGGCTGAGGCGGGCCTATCATGAGGTCAGGAGATCGAGACCATTCTGGCCAACATGGTGAAACCCTGTCTCTACTGAAAATACAAAAATTAGCTGAGGGTGGTGGTATGTGCCTATAATCACAGCTGCTTGGGAAGCTGAGGCAGGAGAATCGCTTGAACCAGGGAGTTAGAGGTTGCAGTGAGCCGAAATCGCCCCACTGCACACCAGCCTGGCAACAGAGTGAGACTCTGTCTCAAAATATGTGTGTGTGTGTGTGTGTGTGTGTGTGTACATACACCTATCTTTATAAATTTGTTTTCCTTTTTTTAGAACCACAATGGACACTGCCAGCCATAGCCTTGTTCTTCTGCAGCAGCTGAACATGCAGCGAGAATTTGGTTTTTTGTGTGATTGCACAGTTGCAATTGGAGATGTTTACTTCAAGGCTCACAGAGCAGTACTTGCTGCTTTTTCTAACTATTTCAAGATGATATTTATTCACCAAACAAGGTAAGGATGTGTTTTTGTAAGTAAGAATTTTTAATATTGTAATTTATATAAGCTTCATTATAATATCATTTTGGAATCCTTTGTTATGGAGTCACCCTAAGAAGCAAAATAATAATAATTTTTTATACGTCAGTAATTAAACTCAGTGTGTAGGATCTGTAGTGGAAAATAATGAAAATAAGAATATTTATTGAAGGCTTATCCCATACCCAAGCACTAAGTATTTGCCCTATAATGTAAATTCTACTGTTATCCCTAATTTAGGGAAAAGAAAACTGAGACTGAGTTAAGTAACTTGCCCATCCAGAATTATATAGCTAATAAGTTAGACTCAGATGCAAAGTTGTCTGAAGCTATGTCTATGCTTTTAGTCACTGTTGTTAATTTTTATTTCATATAACACTTTCTTTATTATTTATTTACTTATTTGAGATGGAGTCTAGCTCTGTTGCCCAGCCTGGAGTGCAGTGGCACGATCTTGGCACACTCCAACCTTGACCATCTGGGTTCAAGCAGTTCTGCCTCAGCCTCCCGAGTAGCTGGGACTATAGGTGTGCGCCACCACACCTGGCTAAATTTTGTATTTTTTATAGAGACTGGGTTTCTCTATGTTGGCCAGGCTGATCTCAAACTCCTGACCTCAGGTGATCTGCCTGCCTCGGCCTTCCAAATTGCTGGAATTATCGGCGTGAGCCACCGCACCCTGCCTCATATAACACTTCCATAGCAAAGTTTCAGTATCATAATTCTGCCTGTCATATGGTCAGTATTACAGTTCAAGGGTCATTTGTTTCAAATATTTTTTCAAAATTATTTTGCTTTTTCAAATTTGGGTTACTTCAATGTATTAGGTATGTAGGGAGGGAGAAGGAAAGTGGTATTCAGATTCGAACCTTTTGGTAGAGTAGTTTTAGTCCATCCTAGAATGAAAGTGACAGAACACTTTATGTTTTTTTAAAGAACCTTACTTGAAATACTTAGGAGTCCAGCCTCAGTTATACATTTTAATTGTTAATTCATTCAAATATTTATTGAATAGGTTATTCAATATGTCAGGCACTGTGCTATGCCTCAGTGTACTAATCCACTCTTATGCTACTATAAGGACATACTTGAAACTGGGGTTTTGTTTGTTTGTTTGTTTGAGACTGAGTTTCACTCCATCGCCCATGCTGGAGTGCAATGGCATGATTTCGCCTCATTGCACCCTCCAACTCCTGGGTTCAAATGATTCTCATGCCTCAGCCTCTCAAATAGCTGGGATTACAAGTATGCACCATCACACCCAGCCAATTTTTGTATTTTTAGTAGAGACGGGGTTTCACCATGTTGCCCAGGCTGGTTTTGAACTCCTGACCTCAGGTGATCCACCTGCTTCAGCCTCCCAAAGTGCTGGAATTGCAGGCATGAGCCATTGTACCTGGCTCGAGACTGGGTAGTTTATAAAGGAAAGGGATTTAATTGACTCACAATTCCTCAGGGATGGGGAGGCCTCAGGAAACTTATAATCATGGCAGAAAGGGAAGCAAACACTTTCTTCTTCACATGGCGACAGGAAGGAGAAGAATAAGAGCCAAGTGAAGGGGGAAGCCCCTTATAAAACCATCACATCTCATGAGAACTTACTATCATGAGAATAGCATGGGGGAGCCACCCCCATAGTTCAATTACTTCACATCAGGTCCCTCCCACCACGTGAGGGGATTATGGGAATTACAATTCAAGATGAAATTTGGGTGAAGACACAGCCAAACTATATCACCCAGTAACAGGTAAATTATAATCTCTGCCTTTGAGTAATTCATAGTCTGATAGTTAATGCATGTAAAACAAATAATTGTGCTGTAATTGACCCTCTTGTGCCTCCATTTCCTTATCTATAAAATGCTAGAATTGTATATTCACCCCATGGGTACTAAGAAAATTAAATGGATTAATAATATTAAAATGCTTAGAATAAAGTTTTGCGCTGTTAGCTACTTTTGCTATTAATAGTACCTTAAGTGTGTCATAGAAGCATATACAAGGTAAAGTAAGGTTTCAGTAGCCCTATTTTGAGAAGGTTGGAACAGTCTTTACAGAGACCCTGGATTTTGAAGAATAAGGAGTTTTTCAGATGTTGTAGAAGAATGCAGGAATGTGCATCACAGGCAGAAGGAAAAAATGGCATGAAAACATATAGAGATTTGTGAACCAGGCCAGCACATTCAGACAACAGAATAGATCAGAATGATTGGAATATGTGGCACAAAGGGGAGAGGAGATTGGAATGGGGACAAGTAACGGGCAACCGTTTCTGCCAAATGAAGGAATTTCTTATCTGACCTACGTGTTAATTGTAGAATTGTAGATTACCTTCACTGTATTAGAAATGCCACCTTCAGATCAGTCTCCTGAGAGCTGTAAGTTGATTCAGCTCTCAATGCACAGGCACAATGCTAAACTGAACCCAGGTGATAGAAAGGTAGGCCTGCTATGTAGTATCTCTGTATAGAGCAACAAAAAATCATGTTATTAGAACTCTGAACTGATATTTTTTAAAACCGTGCTACAAACCACGTAAGTGGATAGGTTAGAACTAAGAGTGGAACCCAATAGAAGTCCTGAGATCTCAGGACCAAAGCAATGGATTGCCAGCGTACTGCCACCCAGGGCAATCTGATGCTCTCACATAAACTTCTGCTTCAGGGAAGGTAAGTCCATTCACTGATTTCACTGTTACTTGATAGCAACACTTCCTTCAGGTTGTCTCGATTCTAATTTTGCAGGGATGTGTCTGATTTCATATACTTATTTCCATCTATTTCCTGAATTATAGATTCACATGTAGAAATTGAGTTTGGATTATTTTTAAGCTTTTCAAAATTATACCTGTGTTCATTTGTGATGTATTTATTTATTTTTATTTTTAATTATTTGAGGCAGGGTCTGGCTCTGTTGTCCAGGCTGGAGTGCAGTAACACAGTCCTGGCTCACTGCAACCTCTGCAGTGACTCAAGTGTTCCTTCCACCTCAGCCTCCCGAGTAGCTGGGACAATAGGTGCATGTCACCACACCTGGCTAATTTTTTTTTTGTTTGTTACAAAAGCTATGTTGCCCAGGCTGATCTTGAACTCCTGAACTCAAGTGATCCACCTGGCTCAGCCTCCCAAAGTGCTGGAATTATAGGCATGAGCCACCATGCCCGGCCCCTCACTTATGATTTAAAGGACGCATATATGAATATATTTTGGAAGCCAAAGTAAGATTAGCATTATTTAGAATTTAAGTATTATCAATTTCAATAGATTTTTTTTTTTTTTTTTTTTTGAGACAGTCTCTTTCTGTTGCCTAGGCTAGAATGCAGTGGCATGATCTCATCTCACTGCAACTTTCACCCACAGGTTCAAGCAATTGTCCTGCCTCAACCTCCCTAGTAGCTAGGACTACAGGCATACACCACCACACCTGGCTAATTTTTTGTAGTTCTAGTAGAGACGGGGTTTCACCATGTTGGCCAGGCTCATCTTGAACTAGTGACCTCAGATTATCTGCCTGCCTCGGCCTCCCAAAGTTCTGGGATCACAGGACTGAGCTACTATACCTGGCCAATTTCAGTAGATTCTTTCAAAAGTTTTTAAGTATTTTTATTGTGGCTATAAACGTGTAAAATTTGCCATTTTAACCATTTTTAATTATACAATGCAATAGTGGTAATCATATTCACAATATTGTACAACCATTACCACTATTTTCAAAACTTTTTCATCACCCCAAACAGAAACTTTGTACCCATTAAGCAATAACTCCCCATCTCATTCTCTCAATCCCCAGAAACCACTAATCTACTTTCTATCTCTATGAATTTGCCTATTCTAGATATTTTATACAATACTCGTCCTTTTGTGTCTGGCATATTTTACTTTCATGATATTTTGGGGGTTCTCCATGTTGTAGCAGATATCAGAATAATATTCCATTGTATGTATAAGCCATCTTATATTTATCCACTCACTTTTGGTGGACACTAGGTTCTTGCTACCTTTGGCTACTCTGAGTAATGTTGCAGTGAACATTGGCATACAGGTATCTGTTTGAGTCCTTGTTTTTAGTTCTTTTGATTGTTTACTCGATAGACTGTTAAATTCCTTAAGAGGGTACCTATTTTATTCATCAGTTTTCTACCCTTGGCATCTAGTATAGTAAATATCACTTAGGAGTCACTCAATTAACGTTGAACTAATCAGAATATATGTCTTTGTTTCCTAACTTTTAAGCAAAAGATTGAATACATGAAGACTTTTTGCTAGGCCATAAAATGGGTATAAAATGAATTTAAGCATTTGTTGCCATGTTTATTAAGGCAGATTGCTAAGTTCAAACTTCTTAGGAAGAAATTGCTTTAGTCTCAGGCTATACTGTTAACAAAAAGGCCAACTAGCTTGTGTTTCATTTCGTGTGGATTTGTTTTTGTTTTTAACAGTGAATGCATAAAAATACAACCAACTGACATCCAACCTGACATATTCAGCTATTTGTTGCACATTATGTACACGGGGAAAGGGCCAAAACAGATTGTGGATCATAGTCGTTTGGAGGAAGGGATTCGATTTCTTCATGCCGACTACCTTTCTCACATTGCAACTGAAATGAATCAAGTGTTCTCACCAGAGCCTGTGCAGTCCTCAAATTTATATGGCATTCAGATCTCAACAACCCAAAAAACAGTGGTCAAACAAGGACTGGAGGTCAAAGAAGCTCCTTCTAGTAACAGTGGAAACAGAGCTGCTGTCCAGGGTGACCACCCCCAGTTGCAGCTGTCTCTTGCTATTGGTCTGGATGATGGCACTGCAGACCAGCAGAGGGCCCATCCTGCCACCCAGGCCCTGGAGGAGCACCAGAAGCCCCCAGTTTCCATCAAGCAGGAGAGATGTGACCCAGAATCTGTGATGTCCCAGAGCCACCCCTCACCCTCATCAGAGGTGACAGGCCCCACTTTTACTGAAACCAGTATCAGAATACACTTATGCCATTACTGTGGGGAACGTTTTGATTCCCGTAGTAACCTAAGGCAACATCTCCATACACATGTATCTGGATCCCTGCCATTTGGTGTCCCTGCTTCCATTCTGGAAAGTAATGACCTTGGTGAAGTGCATCCCCTTAATGAAAACAGCGAGGCTCTGGAATGTCGCAGGCTCAGCTCCTTCATTGTTAAGGAGAATGAACAGCAGCCTGACCACTCCAACCGGGGTACCACAGAGCCTTTGCAGATCAGTCAAGTATCTTTGATCTCCAAAGACACAGAGCCAGTAGAATTAAACTGTAATTTTTCTTTTTCAAGGAAAAGAAAAATCAGCTGTTCCATCTGTGGTCATAAATTCCCTCGAAAGAGCCAATTGTTGGAACACATGTATACACACAAAGGTAAATCTTACAGATATAACCGATGCCAAAGGTTTGGTAATGCACTGGCCCAGAGATTTCAGCCACATTGTGACAACTGGTCTGATGTCTCCCTGAAAAGTTCTCGCTTGTCACAAGAACACTTAGACTTGCCTTGTGCCTTAGAGTCGGAGCTTACACAAGAAAATGTGGATACTATCCTAGTTGAGTAGCAGCTTCTCTTTCAGAATTGTTAGACCAATTCTGAAAAAAAAATTGCATGGCATTTTTTATTCATAAATTATTTTCCCCTCAGTTCCATTGACTTTTTTTCTTCACAGCTTATCCATAGTTTTAAGGTTGTATATATTAGGTCTTCTCATAAGACTTAATATGTGGCTATTAAAATGTAACCTTCAATTAGTACTATGAACTTTTCACAAATGAAATCACAATTTAGAAATCAGAAGTCAATGTGGAAATATGGAAACTTTAAATAGGTATTTATAGAATTTCCAAGTTTAGTCATAGAATCAGTAAAATCAAATTGAATATAAAGTAAATGAAATCTGTTCTAAAGCATTTTCTGAACTATCACTTTTGCTTACATTTCACATGAATTCACTCCTACAAGGATTATTTTTAAATACTTTCTTCCATATAGGAAATTAATAGTTATTTTAATGCATAACTATATGTTATACATATGTTATAATGTATAAAAATTTATTTTAAGATATACCAAATCATGAGTAGTTTTATTTTTTACTACTAGCTCTACAACATCTTACCTACATGGCTTCTCTTTACTTTTTAACATTGAGTATACCTCATTTTTAGTAAAAAATAGTTAAAAGGGAGAAGAGTCAGAAAGACATTAAAAAATCTTTAAGAAATAATAAGATATGTACACATAGAAAAATAAACATGCAGAGACAGAGACTCCGCTAGAACTGCATTCACTAAAAACCCCAGGGTTATTACCTTGGTCCAGAGTATTTTCTTAGACACCTTAAAAAGACCAGAGGTTTACATGAGTTGAAAGAGAAAGATGATAAAATACAAATCATCTTTCTACCCTCAGTGTCAGCGGACTTTTTGGGCTGCCTGGGTTGATATTAATTTTCTAAAAATCACTTGAAAAAGTAACTTTTTGGTGGCACAGTTTTTACTTTTTTTCTGATCCATAAAACCAGCAAAGTAGATACATTCAATGGTCTGTAACTACATTTAAAATCCATGATGGTAGCTTTCCCTGTATAAATTAACTTAACTCTCTTTTATAATGGTGACACTTACAAAGCTAAAACCCCAGGAAAATTAAAGTTGATGGAATAAATTACAGATTCTCCTGCTCTGTGCACCTGGGAAATAGCTGGTTAAGCTTCGCCACAAACGAAAGATCTGCGATGTTTAAATTTCAAATACTGCACAGTCAAGGATAATAAAACAGACTCATTTTTGCCCTCTTGTTGAATTCTAAGCTTCACAGGCATTTGAATACATCTAAAAAAATTGGTTTGTGAGCCTTAGAATTTAACCATGAACAAAACTCTTGAGCTTCCTCCAGACTGAACACTTTCAAGGACATTTCCTGACACATTCAGCAACATCAGTGTTCAACCAGGAGGGCGCGCAAAGAATAATCCAGCTAATTCTAAGGACACAAAGGTTTTTTCTAGGTAAACAGTAGTTCAGGTAAATTACAAAGTGATAAATTTTTCTTGAAGACTGAATGAGGAAAACTACTGGGTATTATGTAAGGCAGTTGAGTTTCTGCCTTAGACAAGTGAGTAAAGGCGCATATTGTCAAGTCTGATGTGTGTTGAGAGCAAATCTAACTGTTGATATGATTAATTGTATTGGGAGTAATTAAAACAAATGTATTGTTCTTTGAGGTCAGAACTTTATCTAATTTTAAACTTTTTTCTACCAATTCATTTAAGCAACTATTCAAATTTGTACTGCCCTCAAAGATGTCATCTCATTGGCAGAACACAAATATTAACATGGATTTTATGTATTTTAGGCTAGTTAGGACCTATTTCCTAGCCTTCATCAGTGAAAATTTTATTGTGCTTATTAAGTTAATTTTTCTCCTCTATATTCTTCCCTATTTGCCCACTCATTATTCTTTGACACAGGAAATCCTTGTATAGCTAAAAAGTGGAGGTAGAGTTGTATGTGGATGGTGAGATTAGACAGTGCTTTAGGGCAGAGTTTGGAGAAATGATAAGAGTTTGCTGGCAGCTGATTGGCCATGATAGACAACACTGACTTAAAGCAGAAATATATCTGTTGAGAATTCAGAAAATAGGGATGAACTGTATTTCTATTCTTATAGTTCCTTTTAATATTAGAAATTCAAAGCAAATGTTCTGTCCTTGGTCCTTATAACATTCATTCTGTTTAGGAAGTGGGAAAATATCAACTTCATTTTATAGAAAAAAATCCCAAAAGCTGAATTCCAGAAATGCAATGAATAGTGGTATGGGACTGACCCCAGTTTTATTGTGGTTGTTTTCATTTATTCTGCAGGTTTTTTTTTTTTTTTTTTTTTTTTTTTTTTTTTTTTTGGTGGAGTCTTACTCTTTTGCTCAGGCTAGAGTGTAGTGGCGTGGTCTGGGCTCACTGAGGCATTTTTTAAAGTAACTGTCATATGACTAACACTGTGCCCTATTCGTTTTTAAAGACATGATTGCTTACTGAGAAAATTTCCTTTGGCCGGGCGCGGTGGCTCAAGCCTGTAATCCCAGCACTTAGGGAGGCCGAGGCGGGTGGATCACGAGGTCAAGAGATCGAGACCATCCTGGTCAACATGGTGAAACCCCGTCTCTACTAAAAATACAAAAAATTAGCTGGGCATGGTGGTGCGTGCCTGTAATCCCAGCTACTCAGGAGGCTGAGGCAGGAGAATTGCCTGAACCCAGGAGGCGGAGGTTGCGGTGAGCCGAGATCGAGCCATTGCACTCCAGCCTGGGTAACATGAGTGAAAACTCCGACTCAAAAAAAAAAAAAAAAAAAAAAAAAAAAAAAAAAGAAAATTTCCTTTGTATTTTAAAAGTTCTTCCAGCTAAAACCTTTGTTTTTGACTACATCTCCACAAAATGGAGCTATACTGTTAGCCAGCATCCTAATAATATAGTGCAGTTTGCATAATGATTACCAAGCTTGAAACTGGAAATGCCATATGCACTTTCCTCTCTGTATCAGGCAGATACTAAACAGACTTTTCCCCTTGAGTCAGCTTAAAAATTTTTCCTTCTTTCGAAATCTCACACACAGTTGTTTTCTGGAGAAAAATAGAGACTGTTTTAGTATTTGTTCTTATTAGTATATCATTAGAACTCAGCATAGCCTGCCTTATACAAAAATCAAAATTTTTTTATTTATAACTCTTCAGATTGTCACTTCTTGCTCTTTCTGATTTCCCATCTGTAAAGTGAGTATAAGCAATACCTACCTCACAGGGTTGTTGTGAGGATTTATATTAAACATGTTCTCTTAGTATTATTGATTAAAACCAACCATCATATAAGCTACATTTATTCTGTAGCTAGACCTATTAACTTTAATATTTCAGCCTATAAATTCTAGAACATCTCAGAAGCAGTAATGTACTAATATTCAATAATTGACAAACTGTTACTGTTATTTTTTACAAATAACTCTAGAAACAATAGTGTTGCTAGAATTCCTGTTCTACTGTGATTTAATCATCACTGTTTCTCTTTGGCCTTCAGTAAAGAGGATATTAGTTCTTTGGCATTATTGGGAATAAAACTTCATCAATTTCAGCCGTATTGAAACTTCCTTCCAAATATATTGTTTACATAAAGGAAAAGGAACAAAAACAATAAAGAAATATCATATTTATCTATTTGATGTAGGTGATCTAAATAGTAGATGAGGACAGGAAATGGTGTGAAGGTAATAACATAGTATTATTAGAAAAATTGGTCAGGCATGGTGGCTCACACCTGTAATCCCAGCACTTTGGGAGGCCGAAGGCGGGTGGATCACTTGAGGTCAGTTTGAGACCAGCCTGACAAACATGGTGAAACCCCATCTCTACTAAAAACACAAAAAATTAGCTGGGCGTGGTGGCACGCGCCTGTAATCCCACCAATTCGGGAAGCTGAGGCAGGAGAATCGCTTTAACCTGGGAGGCAGAGGTTTTAGTGAGCTGAGATCACAACATTGTGCTCCAGCCTGGGCTACAGAGCAAAACTCTCTCTCAAGGAAAAAAAAATAAAGTCATCACTGAAAACTGAAGGAAATACATATTAAGCATGGAAAAAGATAGTCTGAAAAATGTATAATTCCATTAAAGTTTATTTGTATAGACACATTCTTGATGTTGTGACTCAGATACTTGATAAGTGTCATTTTTTATAGTAATTGATATAAAAATGGGCCATGCAAAGAATTTTCATAATGTGATTTGTCTTTATATGTTTTGAACTACATGTAGATCTGTGGCACCTAAATTATTAATTTTTAAATTCTTAAGAGTAAAGTCTGTAAATTATTATTCTCTGCTGTACTTCTGTGTTTGTATGGTTGGACCTTTTAAAAACTGGTGAGGTTACACAATCCCAACCCTGGATGTCTTAAATACAAGGAATTACAAACTTTGATTTTTTTCTTGAAGACCTGTAAGAATTCATTGTGCTTCAGTATGTATCTGTACTGCACTTGATTAATTAGTAAGTATTGCTCTGGTGCAATTGATATTATCTGTCATCAACTCCTCTGTTGTGTACTAAATAAAGTCATTTAGTCAGAATGGATCAAATATAAACTTACACTTTAAACTTCGATTACAAAAACTTGTTCAATAAAAAAGACCCACTGAAAAATCTTCAAAGTACATGTAACACATAGTAAATACAGGAGACCAAAATCAATAATACATTGTGTGGCTAAACTCTTCCACCTAATGTACTGTCAATTTGCTTCAGAAACATTCTTTTAGAAAGTTGTGTATCCTCTAGTTGGAATGGAAACAATGGATTTCATGTATTTTATCAAGATGAATAAATTAATGTGACTTAATCAAAAACAAGTTTATTAGCTCAGCTTATAGAATGTGTTCTTATTTTACAGCAGTATCTGCCATGTTGTGTTCCTAGTGTTGAGGTAAGTAGTCTTTGTACTGGATAACATTTTGGAGGTGTGATGTAAAAATGCATTCATGGGCCTAATACCAACAATAATCTGTGTTAATATTAATCAAATGCTTTCCAACTGCCGTCTCTGGAAAGAAAGATAGTATCTCATCATTTCCCAGAAGTTTCTTGCTTTGCTTCTTTCTTCTCTGTTTACAGTCTACTGTATCTCCTTTTGCCCATGTTCTACAATAGTAGTTCTCAACCAAAGCATATTATTCAGGATTCTCCAGAAAAAGAAAGAAACAAGGCTGAGTGTGGTGGTTTATGCTTGTAATCCCAGCAATTTGGGAGGCCACAATGGGTGGATCACCTGAGGTCACGAGTTCAAGACCAGCCTGACCAACATGGTGAAATCCTGTCTCTAAATAAAATAAATTTAAAAAGAAAGAAACAACAGGTAGAATTGAGAGAAAGAGATTGATTGCTTGATTATAAGGAATTGGTTCATGCAGTTATGGAGGCTGAGAAGTCCCAAGATCTGCAGTTGGCAAGCTGAGAGCCAGGGGAGTCAGTGATGTTCCAGTCTGAGTTTGAAGACTTGAGAACGAGGAGAGCTTAGGGCATAAATTCCAGTCCAAAAGCTGGCAGGCTTGAAACTCCAGAAGAGCTGATGTTTCCGTTTGGGTCCAAAGTGAGGGAAAGACTGATAATTGGAGCTCATGCAGTCAGGCCAGAGGTCTCTTTTTAAATTCTATTCTATTCTGGCCTTCAACTGAATGAATGAGAGCCACCCACATCAGGGAGAGTGATCTTGTTTACTCAGTCTACTGATTGAGATTTTATCTCCATCCAGAACACCCTCACAGACACACCCAGAATAGTATTTGACTATTGGGGCACCCCATGGCCTAGTTATTTGGACACATAAAATTCACCATTACACAGGGCTATCCTCCTCCCCCACCCCCACCCCCACTGCCATAGAGACATTTGACAATCTGGAGATGTTTTTGGTTGTCACAGTTGGGTGGGCGATGACGGAGGCTGCTGCAGGCATCTAGTAGGTGGAGGCCAGGGATGTTGCTAAACATCTCAGTGCAGAGGACAGCCCCCCACAATACAGAATAGGTACCTCAAAAGGTCAGTAGAGCTGAGGTTGACCAACCCTTCTAAGACTAAGACCCTAAAGTAAGTTTTGTGATGGTTGTCAGGAATTAAAGAATACAAAGAAACCTAATTGGGGGATTTCTATCTTAGTCATGTTAAGAGTAAGAATTGGAGTATGAGATGTGTTCAGAATTAAATTCTTTTTTGTATTATTTTTGATCCCAGCTTTTAAAAGATAAAAATGTGATTAGAAAAAAGATTAAAAGTATGATTATTAAAAATCAGGGATGTATTAATCAGCAAGACAGTTTTAAATCTATTCATATAATGTTTGAACTAAATAATTGTGTCTCCAAAGAGGTCTCTTCATGAAGTTGAGATAGTAGGTTATAATTTGTGTAATTTTAAATCTGGCCAAAAGGTGGCATCAGTGAAACTTTAAAAAATGTTCATTATACTTGAATTCAGCCTTACTATTAATAGTTAAGTATTATTTAGGGCTTAGCTACTTTTGGATCATGGTTTTTAGAGTCAAGGCTAATGAGAATTTTTTAAAAATTTTCATAGGGCACTGCAATATCTTGATACTCCTCTTTAATCGAGATGCCTCTGATTTACATGTACATATATCACCAGATAACTTTTTAAAATATCACATCATTGTGATATATTGAACATTTCTGAAGATTTTTCCAAGTCATTAATAGTGAGGCCTTGGGATTTGGGCTCTTCTAATCAGGCATCACACTCAGTTTTTGGTGTTCTGCCTGGTCAAGAAATAGATTAAAGGGCATTTGAGTAAATACGCTCCCTTGCTTGTTTCTTGCCTTTTGTTCTTTTTTTTTAACATCCACAATCTATGAGGTAGGCCAGTATGTTACTTACTGAAATTTACTGTCTTTTCCAACTATGGTTCAACAACTGACTTTCTTCTTTTACACTTTCCAACCCATTCCATTCTGAATAAGTTAAGAGTTTTCTTACCTTCAACTATTCTCACCTTCCAATACTGAGTGAATATAGTCTGCCTCCCCGCTCATTTCTGATTACAATATTGTCACAACCTAGGACTTTGTACCTAACTACCAATTGCTTTTCCTAAGTTTATTTTACAACTGATGAGCCAACTTGGAAAATGAGCCCACTCTCCCTCCGATACATTCTTTTCCACTGTTTCTACAATTTTGAAACTTTTTTCATTGAAACAATTTGGTGATACTGTATCAAAATAATAGAAATAAAGTATTAGGGCCCTGCAAGGTGGCTCATGACTGTAATCTCAGCACCTTGGGAGGTCAAGGCAAGTGGATCACCTGAGGTCAGGAGTTCGAGACCATCCAACCTGATCAACATGATGAAACCCCATCTCTACTAAAAATACAAAAATTAGCCAGGTGTAATGGTGCATGCCTGTAGTCCCAGCTACTTGGGAGGCTGAGGCAGGAGAATCACTTGAAGCTGGGATCCGGAGGTTGCAGTGAGCCAAGATCACGCTATTGCACTCCAGCCTGGGCAACAAGAGTGAAACTCTGTCTTGGCTTGAACCCGGGAGGAGGAGATTGCAGTGAGCCGAGCTTGCGCCACTAAACCAGCCTGGTGCCTGGTGACAGAGCGATACTGTCTCAAAAAAAAAAAAGACAATATTAAGCTACTGGAACACCATGGTGTCCTTTCATGTCAGAAGTCTGAAGGAATAACAGTGCTCCAAGAGAGATTGTCTGTTCAACTGGTGGGTCCCCACTGTCCTGGAAACAGGAGAGACTTGTGCGGGAAGGAGGCTAGAGAAGATGGTCTTCTCACTGTGGTCATCATCCCTTGTCTGGTCTGTGTTATTACCAAGTTTCAGGAGGTTCCATGTCAGATTTATGTGCATCCAGCAGGCCTTTGAGGAATGGGACGTTGTGCATTTAGCTCTCCCACATTTTTCTGTAGTGGAAGCCATGTGAAACTAGTCCAAACCATATGCAGGTAATTTAAAAAAAAAAAATTGTTTTGAACTGGCATTTCCGATAACTACCATATAGGGAGGAAAATCTGAAGAACCTGTAATGGTTCTGTAGCAAGTGAAGTCATACCTGTTACTTTTTGAAGGTGAAAATACATTTGCAAAGGCAAGGGAAGAGGTTTTAAAATGCAGATCAAAGATTCCGGGGCAGTGAATCTCAACAATGTTCCTAGCTGATCAGTTCTCATTTCCCAACATTGCTCTTTTTTCACATCTGTGCAGTCTGGTGGTAAGAGCTCAGTGGTTTCTGTCTCCTCTTTCTATCACTATATTTTAAAGTCTAGGAGGAAAGACATATAAAGGGAAGAGTCCTTTTTTTTAATCTTAAATGTCTCCTATTTCACTGTTAACATACCAGTTTTGCTGCTCTCTCAAACTGGTGCCTATGCTCAGAGCCACCATGATGGCTATGCAGACAGTGCACAACCAGTGCTGGGGGGGACCTCTCTAATGAAGGCTTCTTCCAGAGTTGGGCTGTGCCCATGGCATAGGTGTGTATGGCAGCCTTGCCTTTTTGTTATCCTGGTTTAAACACTGGGTTTAAGAAGCCCTTATTTTGAATTTCTGCAGCAAGTGGTTTTCACTGATACAGTCAGGATTAAACTAAGATAGACGAGTGGTATTGAGATCAGAGTAAGATTTAAAATTAATTACCCCTAGGTGACACAGCTAATGTCTTGGTCAAAATTGGTAGAACTGCATTAAAGGGGGGATTTTGGGGCCAGGCGCGGTGGCTCACCCCTGTAATCCAGCACTTTGGGAGGCTGAGGCTGGCAGATCACCTTAGTTCAGGAGTTCGAGGCCAGTCTGACCAACATGGAGAAACCCGTCTCTACTAAAGATACAAAAAAATTTGTCGAGTGTGGTGGCGGGCGCCTGTAATCCTAGCTACTCAGGAGGCTGAGGCAGGAGAATCACTTGAACCCAGGAGGTAGGGGTTGACTTTTTTTTACATGCAAGTTTCTACACTAGAATCCTTAGCCTTTTAAAAGATTTCATCACCAAAAAAGTTACCTTTTTTTTTTTTTTTTTTTTTTACCTGAATTGAGTCATGACCAATTGTTGGCATTTTCTGCATTTCAGCAATATAGAGTACAAGGCAGTTCTAACTTAGTCATTCTGCCAGGAGGATAGAAATACTTTAGTTTTGGAAGACCTGTTTAAACAGATGTGATATTCCACAGTTCTTATGCTGCAAATGGCTATTCCATATGGAATATGTGATACAAAGACCCATTTGTAGCCATACTGACCAGACCTTCCTGTGAACTGAAGGCATAGATGTCAGAGTAGGAATTTGGGAATAAAAGGTTTGGGTACAAGTGTACACGTGACTGTACCTGGCTTGGTGTCACCTTGTGCATGGCAGCCTTGTGCTCCCTGTCCCCCAGAAGTGCAGCAATGGAAGGCCTGGGTCCTACGACCACAAGTACAGCTGTGAAAAGTGTGTAATCCTTGTCCTATAATAGCACTGCCAGAAAGTTCAAGGCCAAAAGTCTTTTTTGAGTTTAACCACAAAGCAAGTGGTGGGGAAACTGCATCTAGTCTTGCTAATGTCCTGAAACTGCTGGACACTGCTCCCATTGTTAGGATAGGTTGGAGTTTATGGAGACAGTTTTAAGGCTGGGAGTTTCCAAGTTCAATGCCACACCATCCTCTCCTCACCTAGGTTTCCCTTCATTGCTCATTGTGCCCACACCCAGTTTTGCAGAGGATTTTCTGTGAGTGTGTAGTATACAAACATATATACTGTCTTTCCTAAGCTCAGGAACTTAACCCCCAGTGAGCTTAAACTTTCAGGAAGGAAAAAAGAAAGAAAGGTATTCACAAAAGGGTTGGGGACTCCAGATGTCAGCATTAAAGGTCTAAAAAGGGATTAGCAGAATTGCCTGTGAGGACAAGTTTTGTGAAGTGTAGTGTATCTTTTTTAAACCAAGAAGATGAGATTTAATAAAACTTTTTAAAATCTTGTAAAATGTGAAATATTAGCTACCCTATTACAGTGTTTGTACATTAAGAAGACATTTTGCTTTGGAGCTAGATTTAGTTTTAGGACTTTTAAGGTACTATCAACTTTTAAGTTGTTCCCAAGATTTGGAAAGTACAGTCCTTCCTTGAGCCAGATTATTATTGGGCTGTGGTTATGAAAAGATAAGTTGTTAATGTTACCTAAATTAAATCAGCTCCTTAGTAAACAGAACTTTTTAAACACCCACCTTTAGTACGTACCATCTGAATAATTCTAGCATTTTCACATTGATTCATTATTTGAAAAATCATTAATTCGTAGGTTAATGCAGAAAAGACAAGAGTATAGCAAGAGATGAAAACTGCTTTTATCAAATTCACAGATGTCATCAAATTCAGAACTGCTCTTTTGATTGGGTTAGTTCAACATTGTAGGTGTTTGTATTTCTCTTGCTGAAGGACTGTTTTAAGAGTGTCATTGTAAAGTCTCTGTCCAATTCCCAATCAGCAGAGTAGAACATTTTATAGTGTGCGAACTCAGTAGTTCCATCAATGTGATCTTTATAGTTTTAGGAAATGAACATAGTTTGCCCACCGTTCTTTTAAAAGATCCAAATAAATAAACATGAGTCAATATAACATTTATTCTGTATTAATAATCAGTACATAAATTAATTCAACTTGAAACCTTTTTTTTCTACAGAGTATTATTCATCATCTGATCCACAATAATTTAGTACTAATTTTAATGAGAAAAAAATGAAACTTTTACTTTAATAATAGCTCATCCACTTAACATTTTTACAAATAACTACTATAAATATGTAACACTATGCAGGCTTTTTTCTACACCTAGTCACAAATCAGAATGAGCATACTGTTTATTTAAAAACGGAACACTTTCAAACTGCTGCTGTATTCAGATCACCACCTTCCCCACACCAAAATTAATTGCTCTCTCTGTGTACTGCCCTCTATGCCACTCAGGTTGCAGCATTATCCGTGGCTCTTTGTTGTAATCTCAACCCAGTTTCTGTTGTCACTGCTCCCTAGGTTGATCTCTTGGAGGGCAGGGAGCCTGTCCATCTTAATCAAATAGTGTTAGGCAGAAGTTATGACTAATATGTGTGTTGAATCAAATTGAATTTAATCAGGACACCTGAATTTTATGTAGCTTCCTTCTAATAAATTTTTGTAACTAAGGAGCATTATAAATTTTCTTTTCAAAAATGTATCATAAGATATACCATGGATTGAAATTTTGAATTATGTGTAAGAGACTTTATGTTACCCAATAAAACATCATAGGAATTTGAACCTAAAGAACTCTAAATTGTAAATGAGGATTTTTAAAACAAAAAAAACACAGAAATGGCAGGCAGAAAATCAAACCCTGCTGTATTGAGTATCAGATGAAATTAGAAAGTAGACTTTACATGGTTCAATAAAGTTGACATTAAAAGGGTCTTTTCAGACAGTAGGATTCTAAAGCCTAACAATTATTTTTAAAATTCTGCTGTAAACCTCTAAAAACATTCTTAACTATAAAAAATAAGGCAACTTGAAGTTAGAAATTTGTGGATGAAGTTAATGCTGGATTGCATACAGAAGCCAAATTGGTGCCCTGACCCATATCTTTAATGCCTTTAGCAAGCCTCTTCACATATACTGGTGAAATAACAATCTCTCAGCAGTAAATCAGAGAGATTCTAGGACTCTGCTAAATAGTAGACCAAATTAAGATCATCACAAACTTCATGCTGTCAAACACATTACCTTGAAGAAAAATTATGCAGACAGCTTTTCTGAAGAACTCCATTTGTGCCACATGCTTATTATTCTTTGAGGTGGAGGAGGTGGCAGGGAACATAATTTCTGTTTGAAAGTTCTTTTGTTTTCTGCTACCTTTACTTAAATGTTAGTGGGTACTATTTTTATATCCTATAAAGTGCTTTGAAAAAATGTTAAGTGAATAGTGCTACATAAAATAGAATAGAATTTTCACATTCTCTGGGTTGTAAGAAGCAAAGTGAATAATACTTGACTCTTAGAAGAGGGATGATAATATGCTGAAAAAGTTAACAAGTATCCAATAACTCCCCTCCCCAACCCCTAGCCTTGTAAAATTCTGGGTTCAAAGAGAAACTGAATCTTGGCTAATAAACATTCATTAAAAGGAAATTTATACCACAGCAAATGTAAATGAAAATTCATATGGTGTTCCTAATAATTATTTTAATGTTGTCAAATGTGAATTAGAACCTATTTATATTCACTTATCATTTGCATATAAGGTCAAATTGCTTAAATACTATTACAAGAAAAATATTTTATGACTTCGAAGCCATCTGATTTCTGCAT